ATTTTTTTATAAGTTTCACTGAAAATTTTTTTCTAATTTCCTTTATCTTCCTTCCTTTATTAATGCCGGTCAAAAAATTCCATTTCATAAGTAATATTAGGATTACCTATACATCTGTTACAATTTCTGCTTTGAACTTTCATTTCCTAAAAATCCAGGGACCATCAGTTCCATCCAGAAACAGTTTAAGCATGTATGATTCATGACTTTGAACTAATGCAAAGAATACTACTTTGCTCATTTTTCTCAGTAGATTTGCACTCTTAGAGCTGGTTGTATCCGTATTTAAATTGTGGACCGTACAACTTAACTGCTGCTCATTTTTCTTCACAAAAGAAATGTTCAGTTTTCTATTACGATTTTTTTTTTTTGATTAGACTTGTTCCGAAAAGCATTTTTTTAATGAATTGCTCTTATCACGCGGCAAAAATTCCTGCTCATTAACGTAATTTTTGAATAAGCAAGCGATATCACTTTAAAGCTAATCGAACTTATGTTTTAAGTAAAAAATATAAGTTCAGTGGTTGTATGATGGACGAAGCAAGAAATATGGCATTGCTTTTTTTCATGGACCATTTAATGCAAAAGAATGGTAGGCGCACAATCCATGATCTCAGCTGCCAATTCGGTGCGCGTGGTTTCACGGCAGAAATGCGCGATGCAGTTGGTACCACACAGGAAGGCCTCACCGATTTTCTCTGTCAGCATCCCTCGCTGTTTACCGTTGAAGGCGATCAGGTAAATCACCAGTCACTTTAGTGCAATGTGCTAATCTGTTTTGTTGACTAAACAGTTTTTAATGACTTATCGAACTTCAATGACATAATACTACTTTCTTCTAAAGTAATGAGGCAAGCTCTGGATAGGCTGTAGATTAAAACCTTTTCTGTACTGATTAGTTGAATTAACGAATGTTTTTAATCCATATTTATGACTTAATACTTTTTACTGGCCTCCGATCGATTAATTTCAACTTTTTGAAAAATTTCATGGATTTTTTATTACCCAGCTATAAATGAAAATGAGCGTTTAGGATTTTTCGTGCCTGATAGTTCCGTCAGTTCTTTTGTTCGTGATTTTTCCAGTTTGATTGCAGTTTTGCTGTACATATTTGATTTAAAAAAGTGTAACGCTTTTAGGTTTGTTTAAATGGATTTGGCGATATGACAGTAAAGAATAACCCCTTATTGCAAGCGACTGCAAATGCTAGGAATCGTGATTATGTGAAGGAAGCGGTGCAGTTTTTTGAAGCAAAACTACAGAAGTTCGGGCCGGAGTTGCAGGAATGTCTTGTTTACTACACGATTTTTTTTCACAAATGCAAAAGCTTTGTTACTAACATCGAGTCATTTTTACTTTCAACCTTTGATAAAAATAGTTTAAATCACAGAAATTGCGTTCATGTTTTTATTCGCTGCCATTCAGATATGTGTTCACAAGTGATGCACTTGTAGATTAAAAGTTTGCTCGGTCATCGTTCGCAAGCAGCACCTGAAGTACGTTTGGTATCGGGTAGGCATTTGAAGGATTTTTGCGAATTTCTTCAGTCACAGAGTGATCATTTTGTGGTTGAAGGAGATCGTGTTCGGCTGAAAAATATGCCGGAACCTAGTAATGCTGGTATTGAACTGGATGATGAAGGAAAACCCTTAGCTGGTGTTAAAGCCAAACAAGCAGCTGTTGAATATCTTAGATCCGTTGTGGAACAGGTTTTTTCACGTATAACTTTCAAAGGTTTTTAAATATTTTAATGCATAATATGGATTTTTCAGTTCATTACTGCATATCCGTATATAGCAGTGATGGACGGCTCATTTTATATCCATGGAATTCTCGATTTATAGAATGATGAACAGCCGATACCGATGGATGCTTTCTATCAGAAGTTTTGTGACCGTTTTTCCCATACAGTTAGGCAAGAAGTGGCAACCAATCCAAAGGAATTATTGCAATTTTTGAAGCTTAACCGCAATATGTTTTTTATACGATCTAATAAGGTTGTTTTTGGAACGACAATTTCTCTTTATTTTAATTGTCGTTGAGCTAAAAAAGTGAAAAAACTTTTTACTTGCAGTTTGCTGAATTAGTGTTTTAGCTTTTTAATGTTTAGCAAAATTGAGGCATTCTAGATCTAAATTTTGTTCCTTATTAGGTTTCGCTTGTGAAAAATCGAGCTTCAGAAGATGGTTCCGAAAGTGGCTCCACTGAGAGTTCAGAACTTGAAAATAATAATAGCCATCTAAATTATAATGCTGCCAATCGAATTAAGCTTGTGAAAGCTTTAAAACCTGCGCAGGTACCAAGTCTTTATTACTCCTCTAACTTTTTTTTTCTGGTAAAACTAATCACTAAACTTATGAGATAAGTTATTGTTACCGAATATTCAGATTTTATAGCTTCATGGGAGGATTTTTTAGGAATCAGTTTCATTGGTAAATGCTGAAATTGATAGTATGGAAGAACGAGTTATTGGTGTTGATTTCAAAACTGTTACTCTTGGTGTACAAGGAGAAGAGTTTCTATCTCTGGTCGTATTGGCAACGACTATGCAAATCGTTGTTTTCGATGTTGTTCATAGCGACACCATATTATTGGAAAGTGGTGTTAAGGAAATTTTAGAATCTGAAAAAATTATTAAGGTATATTTTATTACTTTTCCATGGTGATTTTTTAATCTTTAGTTGCTTATTTTTCAGGAATTTGTCTTAATCATTTCGGAATGATTAGACTTTATGATGTAGCAGTGGTATAGAATCACCGAGAGAAATCATCCTAATGTTGTCCCAAAGGTTTTAATCAAGCATGGAAGATACTGTTTTGCTATTTCATGTTGATCTACGAAATCCAAATAGTCTTTTTTATCGATCACCTATCGGTGGATTGTACTTGACTGTTAATGTCATAAATAACAAGATCAATACGCATCTTTTTTCAACGTATGGTCATACAATCATTAAGAGACTGTACGTGTGTCCTGATGGTATGATTGCTCTTGAGTTAAACATAGGTATAAATTCTATATAAATTTTTCTGATATGTTTAACTTCCTAGGTAATTCATGATGCTAAGAGAGTGGCCACTTTACTTGCTCATCGTTATGCCATCAATCTCAGAAAAATCTTCGATACTCAAGTAAGCTTGTATTTTTATATATCTCAGTAGAAAATAGTTCCACTTAGGGACAATTCACATGAGCTGTTTTTTTTTTTTTTTTTTTATTAGTTGATTGCGAAAACTCGATGTCTTTGTGTTCGAATTTTTTCATGACAGGTAGCCCATGCGATATTGCAATATGAGAAGTTTGGTAAAGCCGTTAGTGATATGCGCACAATGTCTTTCGTAAATCTTCGAAGGGTTTATTACCCGCAGTCAATTATGATGTCAGATGTAACGCCTAGGAAGCTCACTCATTTACCGAGGTTCAAGATTTGCTATTTCTTTAAACTGTTAGTCTCTTTTTCAGTGATATGTTTTTTTCAACGAACAAAATATTGTCGCAAAATTGTTTCAGTTGGGGTCTGAGGCCGATAACGGAGGATTTTCTAGTGACCGTGGTTGAGGAAGCACACTGTCTTGTCACAGTATTGTATCGTATGATCAGTGCTATGCTACCGAAGCATCTTCTGGCACTGTTTGAGGAGAAGTGTCTGAAAGCACTGATACCTAATGCAAATCGCCCACCACCGGCAGTATTTCAAGCGAACGGCGCGACGCCATTTAGATCATTAAGAAGAGGAGTTATAACACCGATTGTCAACAGCATCAATGTTCCAAATGCTTCTTCACCGCGACATGTAAGCGATGCTTCAACGCAGACATTTTCCACAGGCGAAATCAATGTTCTTAATGTGTACTATGATAACTAATTTCTTTACACAATAATTTGTAGTGATTAATCAATTGATCAGTTAATTGAAATAATGGAATGCTGATCTTGCTGTGTAACATTGCTGAAACCTGTGGTATGCTGGTACTTGCGACAGTAATACCACAGAACTCTGTTTCTCGTGGTATTCCTTTATATATTGTTTTTATTGGAGCTCATGTTTTCCAGTGGCTTCCCAGTGGCTTTTTTTTTGCTAACTTATGTCTACCTGGTGTTAGGTATTCTTATCATGCATTACTCATTACATCGTGCTCTATCCCTCTTCATATGCGTTCTTATCATTTTCTTTTTCGCGTTTTCTTGAATTCCAGTTGAAGTAGTCCACTCCTTTGCCTGCATAAATTAGGAAGTTATAAAATAAAGGACATATAAAGCAGGTTTTCCGCACTCTTCCATTTCTTATAAGTGATCAGAAATGGATAATGTCAAGTTTACGAAAATATCCATACCACTCTATTTTCGACTTTCTCAACCTTTTTATCCAAACGCAAGTTCCAAGTTTGTTCTTCCAACTTGGAGAGAAACTCTTTTATCTTAAAATTATCTTTAGCATATGAATTGAACATGCTGGTCATTCTTGATTTTGTAGATATTGCTACATCATGTTATTTTCCTATCTTTCGAATTTGATTAACGCATGAAAATGGTTTTCCTTGGTGTTTGTTGCACAGTGCATTTATGGGTTATATTTTAATAATGTAAGTTGGATTTTTTTAATGCTGTAAGAGGAAAGCATCATTCGTTGAATGTGGTTTGCTTAACCCTGGTTGAAAATTACTCACGGTTTTCGAAGAGGCTTTTTAGAAATCATTTGTATTAACCATACAGTAATATTAATCTCAAAATCTTTAAATAAGCATATTACCTAGTACTTGTGAAGGAATTTTATTCTACGTTTACTGTTTGCCCGCTTGTTAGGTAAATTCTAAAGTGACAGGAAATATGTCATGGCATTAAGTTATAATTAATAAGATGACTAGAAGGGACGGTTAAAAATACAGGTCGAAAATGAAAGTCATGGCACATTCCGGTAAGGGAGAGGGGTTGTTGGATATAGATAATAACTGCGTCAACATCGCGGTATGTTATAACAGGTGCTTTTAAAATTTTAACTTCATTCAGTGGTCATTGATCCATGGGTTGCTCTCGATGACATGGAGGAGCTATCGGTATGGAATCGGAACCTTCGCCTTAGCAGTACTTTGTTCCGCTGTTGTTTACGCCGTGCCACCTGCATTGGTCGTCTATATACCAAATAGTAACAAATTTCGCACACTAATTCAACAATTTCCATCACTGTAAAATAAATTTTCGATTTAATCTCCTGCTAATGATAAGAACTCTGCTTATACAAATAGGAATTTCATCGCTCACTGGTTATAATTGAAAAGCCAATCCAGAGACCGATATTACCGCCAAAATCGGAGAACAAATTCACAATCTGAAACCAATGTTTAGTCTTCACATTAGTATTTTTAAAGCTATGGTGCAAAAACTCTTCACTGTTGTTGAATGATTCTTACCAAGCGTTATTCCGCAATGGCAGCCTACGGTACCAATAATGTTAAGCTAATGGAATTTAAAAAACCAACCAAAAAGTTTAACTCGTACGTAACGCATGATCTAAAAGGTTGAGAACATTTATGAGTTAGTATTACTGGTGCAAATTTTGTTAGTTGCGTATTTTTTGTTTTTACAGTAGTACATGAAATATTATTAAACATTCAAAAGCAAGAAAGGCAGATTTTGCAACGAACCGAGTATCCAGCCGTTTCGCGAAGTGTTTCAAAGTTGAGCTGCTCGTAGTAAATTTCAATGTATGCTGTATTTTTTCTGAATTAATATATTTTTTTATAAATTTTCAAAAACTTGCCTGGAAGACAGCAACCAATGAAAAAAATGGATGAGAGAATAGGTTGAATGGACCTATAGTATTCGGTACAAGCTCTGGAATCGTTTGCAATGTCGATAACAGCTGGACATTCTACACCAATAATGAAATTTTTCGCTGGCCATGCAGCTGCAGAATATGCTGTTTCAAAAACGTTTTCGCTACAGGGTTGCACACATTCACAGTTTTGCTGTATATGATGAAAACCACCAGAATGTTGAGTAAAGTTACGCAGACAGCTACCTGCAAGTTTGCGGAGGTTTTATAAAATATGCAAAAGGAACGTGCACGTATTGGTTAACATGAACCACATTTCGATGTAGCGGTAAATACTTTATCTATAACCATCCTACTGGCACAATAATTTAGTGCGCCTACAGATTACATGCTGGTGCTACAACATCAAGTTTACTGATTTCTGTGCAAAAATCTGACGTCAAATAGAAATGTTTCCTAAAATACTATGTCTACTCACGTTCGGTAGCATTTTTAACGTTGCATGGATGATATTCACCAGAAGGTAGAGGAAATCGTGGATCTCCACAACCACATCTCTCCAATACTGTGTGTTGGAAGCAGTTACGATAACAACCCTGAAATGAACAAGTCATATCAGTTGAATTAGTGCACTGTTTAATAATTTGCAGCTTAAAATACTAAAAAGATGAGGTTATCTGACTAATGTAACGCGACCTCCGGTGAATAACGTTCCGCATAAATATAATCAGTAGGCCTGAACGTATCACTGCACATCCCATAGGGTGCATCCAAGCGATGTAATACCTTCTGAAACACATCGGATATAGTGGCCTTCATGAGATGATTCGATAATCACCATCTTCACGAGAATGTAACACTAACTGTTTTCAGACCAAATGATGAGATAACTCCAGTTGGTGCACTGTATCCAAATGTATCTGGGAAGGGTTCTTGATCCTGAAAGAATTCGAATGTTTTATTATCGTGCAATGTTTCTAGTATGATATCTCCAATCACGAGACCTGTTCATGCACAACCAGTCGAACACCAGCTGCTTCGGTTGTTGGCAAATAATCACTCTGATTTATATTTAGCAATAGACGCAGTCCATACATCGGTCCTAAAAATAAAATGCTAAGTTCATCAACTTACCTGCTCTATGTATATGTTGGAGAATTTTGCGTGTATAAATCATCGACAACTATATTTTCTGTAGTGCTTATTTTATCATTTTTTTTTTTTTTTTGATTTTATAACAATCATAATGCAGTAGCATCGAAGGTCAGATGGATGACCTCTAATAATATTCCTACTGTACTACTAAACTGAGAAATTATTTAAACTAACTCTTAAAGCAACGATACTAACCAGCACGATTATTTTTAAGTTCAACGGAATCATTGAAATTGAATGTATAGCAATTACCGTATTCAGGATCCATATGTAACTTGAAATCTCTGAAGAAACGATATATATATAAATTTATTTTTCAAAATCATTATGCTACAAATTTTTATATAAGACCCAAAAACTTCTGCTTAAAAAAACATATGTTCATTTTTAATTTTGTGTTCAAAAAACCTTTCGAGGTTGCAATCTTCACTGTTGAATGAACAACGAAGTACAAATTCTTCAAGTGTGTAGGATAAGTTCCGACGTGTTTCAAATGACAATGCAGCAACCATAAATATTAAGTTCTCTTTCGCCTTTGCTGTCATAGCAGCTGGGTCTTGTCTCTCCTTCAAATATATTATTTTTCAAAATCTATAAAATGTTCATCGATTTCGTCAAATTGAAAAAAAATCTATTACACCTTAGTGATCTACGGCGACATCTTATGCATCGGCATCTCAAGATTTAAAATTTTATAAATGAACCATTCGATTATTCTATTCAACTAGTTAAGATATCGGTGTCTCAGATCAACTCGTTTTTTTGACAGTTGTGAGTGTGGACGTTATGTATATGAAGAGAATAAATAAATGCAAAAACACAAGTTCTAAGTAAAACAAACAGTCAAGCCAAAAGCTTCAGCAAGTTCCAAAGAAGTTGTGGGTGAACGAGTAATTGATAAGATGGCGTAATTATTCGGCTTCCACCAACGGATATCATCTTTTGGCATGATGACGCAGTTATTAGAAACAAATTGACACAAACACTTGTGACCATTAGTTGATGATCGTAAATTGGTGAAACTTGATCGATCTGGATCATCACATGTCTTCGACAGTGAGCAGTCAAAACATTGCTAAAGTACATAAGATTATTTTTGAGTACATCCAATTTTTGCGGAAATTATGAGATGCTCTTAGAAAACGCACATCACCTTTTCTGTCCACGTGACTGTAGGATAACATGGCCAAATATTACCACTATTTATATCTTCGAAGCATATGCACACGGTTGCATTTCCCTGTAATTATAGATATTGCTGGTAACATGATTATTCAGAATTGAAACCATTTCTTTGTAATATTTTACAACCTGATCTATTCCTAAATAAGATCGAGAATTTCTTGTCTAAAATTTCATGCTTTTTACCAAAGAAAATTGTTAAGTGGAAAGAGAATGGAATGTTAAAATTCTCACCAGCAAAGGATTCCACTCAGGAATGCAGTGATCATACGACTGCATACAATTACATCGAACAAAAACAGGAGCATAACTAACTTCACGTGTTTTTCGCGACGAATTGTTTGCATAAGACATTTTTGAACCTTTATAACGATTAATTTTCTCTTCCCAAACATCTAGCTGCAATGTACAAATTTTTGAAAACTCACATTGAATATTTGTTTAAGAAACATGTATATAAGGTATACTATATATGAGCTCACCCCTTCAGAAATTGCTTCATACTTTCTCAACTCGCTGTTTTTGAAGGCATTTAAATTGCATAAAGTTGCTGCAGGAAACGGCGCTGAAAATATATCTGATGTAAGTGATAGTGCTGACATGATCCTCTTACCCTTTTCGTTGTAATTTTACCATCGTACCAGTGTTTCCCATATATGTGTAGAACAGTTCATTGATTGTCGTTATTGATCGTCCCAGACTTTGTAGTCTGGGAGCAGTCTATCCCTTACATCACAACTGTCTTGGGAAATGAATGTAGGAAGGGAAAGTATGGATTTCCTCGGTAAAATTATTTTTTCATCTTTGAAGTCAAAAACAATATATGACTAATTAATTAATTTATTTATTTATTCTTACATACCGGGTTCGAATTCCAATTGCATTTCGATTATTGTTCTGTATTGAAAAAATTCCCATAGTGTCCAATATGTTTGGTAAAGAAACAAAATGAAACACAATGAAGTGATAACTATCCAAACGGTACGGCTAAAAAATGACGGCGAACTGCAAAAATTGCTGATAATTAGTAATTATGCGTGGGTTAGAGGTATTCACATGTTTTTTTAATGAAAAAATTTTAGTTCAAGACACCAGTTGCCAAATATCATTAAGATTTTTCCTTTGCTATCCAGTCTATTTAAGTTCAGTTTTTTTTATGTCATTTCACAATACGTGATGATAAATAGATAACCATACCCAATCAAGGGAATACCGTGCGAACTTGTACGGTGGCAAAATTCCTTGAGTAAAGCACATGTTGAGCTATATCTTCTTTCATTTGATGTACCGCTACATTTCGAAATTTTCGATCCTCTACAAAGATATCTGTAGGATTTGCATCATTTTGCGCACTTCAAATTTTACATCTTGTAATTTCTTCCATTTGTAAGTGATCCCATCACTGATTAAATTCTGCCTAGTGATTTATATATACTTAACATTTAACCTTATCCAATTATTGAGGAGTTCCAAACTTCAATATTGGATTTTTACTTAATTCAATGGTTTCCATATCATAGTAATTTTTTCCAATCACCAATACGTTCAGAAGTCTTACGGAATCTTTTCTAGGGAAGTAATAGTCACACCTTTTTTCCTTCACCATTTCCGTCATCTGATCTAAGTTCACTGCGGTATTCCAGAAAACACACAGTGTTGAAATAAATGAACAGTGTTAGTAATGCGGATACCACATGCATTCTGAGAATAATTGACCAAATAATCGAGGCATTATGTACATTTTGATTCACAATAAAACATTTGATGCACACACTGAACTTTTCATTTGAAGAACTGTTCTATCTGATTGTAAGGTAACAGGTAATCGAAAATCGTAAAGTAAATACTTTTTTTTTTCTTTTTGGCGAAAAGAGGGGGAAATCTTAATTTATCCTCTTCAAAACCAGCTTCCAACTTTTTGTTCAGTTCATTAAATAGTAACTGAAGCCATTTACTTCAGTAAGACCCATAAAAGTGGAATTGAAAGGTTAATTAAATCTTACTTTTTGATAGCCATAACAGTAAGTGTATGTATGTACAAAAGTAAAACGCAACTACTGAAAGATATAAAAAGCGAATACAATAACAGTGAAATAAAAATCAGGTTCATATAGTAAAGTGAACTTGCTCTTATTTTGTTTTCCAAATTTCTGAAATTTCATCTATTTCTATCAAAGTTAATTAAAGGAGACGATAAAATGCAGTGTGAACCTAAAGCATTAAATGTGATTGAATGAGATCCCAATGAAGTCCAAGTGAAAATTGTGACGAAGTGCGACGCGTTACACTTTATCAATGTAACTCCTCGTTACATTTGAAGTATCATCTTTGTACTAATATGCCTTTCCTTTTTTCATCTTATCAATGATCAGCAATTTATCACAATCATTTCATTATCACACTGATAGTGGAAATATGAAGGATTGGGACACGTTATATTTTACTCAGCTAACTTAATGTTCTTAATTGTGAGTCAGGGAAGTAATATTCAAACTAATTGAAAGAAGAAACAAGGACAAAATTATAGTTTAGAATATATTTCAGTCAGTACATAAAAGACTCAGTCCGAATTGGAAACTTTGTTAGAAAATATGTATGAGTAACACCAAGCGTCACCAATCATTTTATTATATTCTATTCAAATAAATAAACAATTTGAGAAAGCTTTCTAAAGACAATCAATTCACAACCTGTTAATTATTAGTATAATTTCTAATTTAATCCTTATTCCACCCTTCTGTTCTTCACAAGCAAGTTCCCTTGTCATGCAGTTTAGTTTTTTTTTTTTGAAATTTAGATTGTAATATCAAAATTATTGTTAATGGTATTTGGATTCCATAGTGTTCAATTATGTTTGGTTGAAGGGATCTATAAAATTGCATTGCTTAAGCAAAATGCTTGCTATTCAATACAATCACTAAAATGACTCAGCTAAATAAATGGTGGTTCTTGAAATCTAGGTGTTTTTTAAAGCTTGTTATTTCTATCGTATTAGTTCCCGGATAATATAAACATGCCAAGAATCACAGCTGAAATTTGTAAGTGTTAGTACTATCGCCAGTATTGCAAATAAAGGTTCATCTATCACTTCCTTTTACAAAATCGAACAAGTCTGGTAATAAACAAATAAGGGTGATATAATCGTAGTTAGTGTGCATCATAATACAAAGTGTGGTAGCAAAGGAAAAATAACCAGTTCAAGAATGTTTTAGTAAGAATAAGGCTACATCGTTTCTACTTGCAAAATCGGGTAAAACTTTTCCCAGTTCTAATTATCAAATTTCACTATGAAGTGTGAAATTTGAGGAAAAGAAAAAAATATATAATGAATAAATGAAATGCTGGAAGTGAGGAAGGAAAAAATGAGCCAAATAAAGAGAATGTCTAATCACCGCTATTGTTGGTCTGGAAACAACGTAAAAAAATGTTATACATTCAACTGGTAACCAAGAAAAAAGAAAAAGAGACAACTTAGGAAAGTAGAAAAAATGATAACAAAATGCATATGTCAATAGCATGAGTACTGCTGGAGAAGGGGAGAAGGAAGTAATATGTGTTTAGTCCACAACAAGATTAGTTGTCGCTTACGGGACTAGGAACATATAAAAGTTAGAAAAAGTATTGCGAAAGCAAGGAAAATTTACTTAATGAAGCATTCCCAGTTGAAAGCAACAGAGTAACTAGTTTAGTTTGGAAATGTAAAATTGACTTCCTTATGCTCCTGGGATTGTGCTCGTGAGAGTATGAACAGCAAAGCTAATTGTGATAGAGAAGTGGAGAAAGCGGACGTGAATAGAAACCACTTCTGGGTTTAGTCTGGTAGATTGTTGAAGTTTTCTGATTTGAAGGCCAAATTTAGATTTAGTTGTTGACAAGGTTACTAGCTATTTGTTTTATTAGCCTCCGCTGTTGCATGTCAACTCCTTGAAAATGCGTATTGCTATAAGACAACGCTTACCACATGAAAATTTATACCCACTGTCCAATGCAGTTTTTTAGTATCTTGAAGTTTCAGTTTGGTTGTTGTGGCGCACTCATTCAGCACCACTCTACCCCTTTATTTCATATTTGTATATAACACCTCTAAAAATTATCACTATATATATAGATCAATATTTTTTTTTTATGTAACGTGGTTATTAGTGAATAAAATTCGTTACGACAGACTCCTTCACAACATATTTGACTGTACTAACTCCAAATCACAAACAATAAAACTTCCCTAACAGATCCCTACAGGTTTTCGATAACAGTATACACCTTTTAGTACTTTTAATGAAATGTTAAATGTGATTTGATATCATTATGTTTTCTTGGTGAAGTCCTAATAGAACACTGACACCTTTTTTTAGTTACTTACAATGTTTTTTAACAGTGAAATGTGCCGGTGATTTGTTTGAACAAAAGTGACGTTATCAGATACATTTACTTTATTACAAGGAGCCACGAGAAGAGGTGGATGAAAAAAAAAATTATATAGGAAGAGAATATTGATAGTGCATCTTTGAAAAGCAACTTGGAGAAATACGTAATACTTCCCATCATTCAAATCATTAAAAAAAATATATATTGACGTGAACTGTCAATGTAGAATAAATCAATCCACATTCCAGCCATCACATCTTATATAATTCTTATTCCGATTTAGTTCTGTGATTCTTTCAATTTCTTCCTTTGTCAGCTTCATACCAACTACCTAAAAATTAAGCGTTACAAGTTAAACATTATTTCAAATAAGTTCCCGAAATCGCTCACTTAATTACGACATCTGTTTTCACAGTCAAAACAGAAGTGTGAACTTTTCGCAGCTTTTACTTTAGTTTGATAAGCTCCTACGTGCTATTTGAAAACGTCTTCAACAAATGCTAGTATTGCATAAGTTCAAACTGCACTTATAGAAATAGTCGGTCCGGATATCTCGATGTATAAAGCATTATAGAGCGCTATTAAGGATGACATAGCACTTCATTTATCCATAATCAGAGTACAGGTAAAACAGACTTGAGCCATAACCTCGACTTTATTTGCCAAGTTGGAATAAATACGAGAGAAGTGGTTGTGCTTAAGAGAAATATGGGGCTGTACACGCACGAACTGGAGATCAATGTATCTCTTCATCCTATAGATTCCTTTGACATAATTACCAGTCAGCAAAATTATGAACCTGGTGTATAAAGCTAACAACAAAGCAATCGTCGAACTACAATTCCCTCAAATCAAAAAAAAAAAAAAAAATTATACCTTGAAGTTGTCAATCACTCGTTCCGGATTTGCTGACTTTGGTATAATACCAATACCAAAGCTCAGTGCCCAAGCTAACAAAACGAGCTGGAATATTTCTAATGTGAAAAACTACTCAATAACTTAACACTTTGCTAAAAAAAAATTTTCAACGAATTTGTTACGAACATTTGAAGCATCAACCTGAGGTGTTGAGTTATGTATTTTTGCTGTTTCAGCAATTGTAGAATCAGACATGAGATCAGGATGATTCCTAGCAAGTGAAGAATAAGCCTAAAATTAGAAAATTGATTCCCAAAAACATGCAAAACGACTTAGAAAAAAGTTTTTGCCATTTGGCTTACTTTTTCAAAAGAAGACTGATTTTAAAAAATCTAGAAATTTAATGCTAAACTAACCTGGAAAAATATCCCCTCACTTTTGCAATAATCTCTTAACTCTTTGCGAGTAAAATGAGGGTGAAATTCAACTTGATTTACAGAAGGCATCATTTGGCCGAAAATTTGGATCTCTTTAATATGCTTAATTTCATAATTCGAAACACCTATTGATCGTATTTTGTGTTCATCTAAAAATTCATTTTGACCGTTTTAAAAAAGGAAGAGGACATGAGCACGTTAAAATATGTGTTTTTCGTGAATGAACTAAAGAAAAATCACATCATACTACTCTGAAGTCTGAATTTCAGTAATAATTGCGTCTGCTCGAGTTCCAACTTACTATATTGAAATGATCACCTTTTAATTTTTCGAGTTCCAAGTAAGCGTCCTTACGATTTTCTTGATTTCGTGGATCATTGTTTTTACTTATATCAGCTTTCGGATAATGTATGAGGACTAAATCGAGGTACCTAAACAACATTTCAAACGCATGAAATATACATAACGCATTTAAATGTTAAAACATTGTATCATTTTAATTCAAACGCCTTCACTGGGTAAACTGTAAAAATTTCACATATTTTTTGGTCATCGTTAAACATTTCTATCTTAACTGTTAAGAACAAATTACTCGGTTCGAAGATTTTTTAGTGATTCATCTACCATCTTCCTTGTGTGCTCAGAATTGTTTTTTTCGGCCAGGGAGAATTTCGTAGTGATGAAAATTTCCTCCCTCTTCAAGTTATATTTTGGAAGCAGCTCCTGAAATTACGCACTTTTTCTTTGCTGCATAGAATGGAACGAAAAAAATAACAAGAAACTTGAAGCTTCAAACATTAGCCATAATAAAAATATAAGATTTGCAAAACTATGCAACTATGTTTCGTGTACTTTATTAGTACTTTGACTTGTCTTTTTATTCCGAGTGAAACAGCAATAAAACTTCACTTGAATACAGGAAACAGTGTCCCTGACCATTTCCGACGCTACTGCTCGAAATATTAAAAGCACTTCCTAACTATCACAAAATGAAACAAAAGGAAATGCGAGTACGGAGTAAATTACGAACAAGGAAGAAAAAGAAAACAAAACGATACTTGCAAGGCAATTCCCAACTCTGATTCATTCACGTAGTACTTGGCAGTATCGAACAATCGGTAGCCAGCTTTCAAAGCAGCATCAACAGCCATAGTGATCGCATCCTGGCCAACAATTTTGTAAGTACCAAGCCCAATCAAAGGTATTGAGAATCCAGTATTCAATTTAGCAGTACCACCAACACAGTTTGTAAAAGCCATCTCCAATCTTCTTTAAGTTCGTGATATGAGACCTTTGGTCGTTTTGTCTGTCCCCCTGCACTGTTTATAGATTTAACTTGCAAACATACTGAAACTGTCTGGATATTCGGGGAAGTCCCCTCGTTAATAACACAGTCGGAAGCCTCATAAAATCAATCATTGTAAGGAAAACACAGCAGACCCCACAAATTAGACTGCCAGTGAAAATCTCATATATAGTTTAAAACTACGCACAAATTTTTCGAATTTCATAAAACTCAATTGAAATGACCGATGCAGTAACAACAGAATACCTCGAACCCATTATCACAAAACTTGATACAAGTCACGCCATAGCGGAATGAAAAGGTAAGATGGTACTCACAACATCGCTCAAAACAGTCTTACTCGCCACTAATGAATTGCACACTGGGTCTGTTCGGCCGAGTTTCGATGAAAACTTCGACATGGACTAGCACGTGTTTTGAAATCCATGGAGAGCGTTTTCCTCGAAGCGAAGGTTGTTTAAGGCAGGTTTGAATTCCAGTTTGTTGGGATCTTCTGGAGCTTGCGGCTTTGATTGCTTTCTAATCTCATCGAATTTTCATATGGATTGTTCTCGATGGTTTTACTGAAAATATGGGTATGTTATCGTCTCCATACCACATTTTCTACTCAATATTAGGCAGTATCTGGTGCAATGTTTACTCGATCATAAATTCTTTTACCACTCTTGTCGTGCTAGGATTTCACCAAAAAAACTGATTTCTTATCTACTTAATTTTCCATATAGATTTATTTCTTTTTCCCTACTGTTTTTTATTTTGTGATTTCTGGATACAGGAAAGTTTGTTATGTTGGTATAATGAATTCGGCGGAATCAGTTTTCATTTCATGCTGCTAGTTGATTTTCTTATTTTTTGCTATTCAAATCCAGTTACAAATTTAGTTCACATTTTATGGATTTGTACGATATTTCCTGTTCGCTTTTTCATGTAAGTAGCAAATAAGAATAGAACTTTTGCAGAATTGAAAATTTATGTTAATGTTATTCTTTGCTGTGGTGAGCTAGACTCCATTGTAGCTGCTTTCCACGTTGTAACAAATATATGAAGTTCTTTTCGTAATACATGAACTGTCTTCATTAATTATTAGGTAATAGACATCCTTATTTTTCAGTTCGTATGTTTGTTGAAATGGATATCGACGGCGATGTAAATGGCTCATTATCGCAAGCTCTTTCATGTATGGCAACTAGCGATCATGAAGTGCTTATAAAGCAGTTCCAACAAGTTCTTGGTGACAATCACACTCTCTCAGCAGAAGCATGCGCTTTTTTCCTTGATATGAATAGCTGGTAAGGAGAACTGACCTGTGGTATTGCTTAAATAGTATTTTCTCCATTGCAGAAATAGCGCACAACTGCTATGTGATAATGCTAAAACTTGTATCTAAACCAATTCAGGAATTTGCAAGCAGCTCTGGGAGCTTATTATGATTATGGCAGTGCGAACGGTACAGGTTCGCCACCTCCTGAGTACATAACGCAGTTACCTTCGATGCAATTTGTCCAAGATATCACAATAGGCGAGGTGTGTTTATGCCTTTCTCATTAATCTCGCATTAATTTTTTCTCCATATTTGCGTATTGTCTCATAAGGTTTATCCTTCATAACCGATTTTCAGGGCGAAAGCGTTCCACCTTCTACACGTTTTATAAAAACTTGGCGAGTGCGCAATTCCGGAAATGAGTGGTGGCCTAATGGTTGTTTTTTGTGCTATATGGAAGGTTGGAATTCCGCTGGATTACACTTATTACTTAATTACGTAGAGAAGGGTCTAAATTGTATTTTTATCTGAAAAAGAACTGTGATAGCAGCTGCTTTTTTTAGGTCATAAATTGTCGGATACCACTAAATCCTGGATTCAGCCTTTAGCTCCAGGAAAGGAAGCTAATGTCAGCATTGAAATGGTTAGCCCCTTGGAGAGGGGAATTTATCAAAGCAGGTGGCAGCTGAATACTAATTCCGGGATTCCATTTGGCGGTAAACATTTGATTACAACATGAAGTTGAATAATTCCCAAGTTGAAAGCAATTTCATGTTTTTGAATCATTTCAATCACCTTTTACCTACATTGGCTACTTTAGAGTCTATTTGGTGCATCATAACTGTCGATGATGTGGGGATTTTGGGCATCACACAGCAATTAGCTTCTGCTCCACTAGGCTCATCTGCTTCTCCACGAAGTCAGAATATGAATCCCTTCGGTGGAGTTCTTCCATTTAACTACGCTCTTCAGGTTAGTTAACTGTTGTCTGAGTGTAATCAACATGATATAAGTAAGAAATATGCGCGATTAGTAACTTTTTTGCTCGCGTAGCTTTAGGAAGCACGGTAAGCACATAGAAGAATTATATATATATGGATGGTAAAGCAAGTTTTATATTTCATTAAGACAACCAGCAGCCATTACAAATTAAAATAGTTGAATTGAGATTTTTAAATGTTATTATTGCTAAGGTTGATCATCTGATTTGCAATAAATAATCTACTGCAGAGAAATGAAAGAAATGATATTGATAACTTCAGTGGTTATGGAGAAATCCCACCACCGTTGAAGTTGGATTTTTCGTTCCGTTCTTACGAAAAAAAAAAAAAAGTTCCAGAATTCTACAGAACAACCGGAACGTATTGAAAATAACGTGAACGAAAGTTGTGATATGCCTTTTAATCAAGATGGAAATTCATCACTATATAACGCCGTTGTTAGTCGGCTGCCACGGGTATTCCTCATCCTTTGTTTTTTATTGGATTTTAAACGGATTTGAAATGCACGTTAATTTTTGCTTTTCTATATCTTCTGTCAATGACTATATTATTTCCTCAATTTTAGGTTTGGTCAGTTAACAGTTGTCAATTTCCGAATGCTATAAGTGAGCCTATTGATATATCCCATATCGAGGAAGCTCCAGACGTGCCTCCCTGTACACCATGTACACCTCCACAGTGAATTATACTGCTCACGACATGTTACCTATCTGTTTTAATCGGCAAGTATCATCCACTAAACTACAATAAAATTCCACTTACTGTATGACAGCATATGAAGCGTATGCAAGACTCTTTTGCAAGTATACGTTTGTTTTATGTGCTGTTTTATCAAGTGTTCCATCATCGTGTACAAAATAAGTAAGGAAATGTTTTCGGAAACTGTCATTCCTTTTTTAGTAACATGTTATATGTTATAAGAGTGTTCCACTCGCATACCTTGCTTTTATTTCAAGTGTTCGTTCAAATACTCGTAGGATGAGCATATATAATACAAACCATTTCGTTTGATGTTGTAGTTAATCGTCTACTGCACTTTGTAGTTGGGGTTTATCTATATTTGAGAGTTTTGTTGGTTGTCTTTCATGTCTGCGTGACATCTTTTTATTACTGGATATTTGAACTTGAATCCAAACACTTGTACCTCATTTTTGAGCGAGCATACACTGGCAGTGGGTTTTAAAACTGAATTAATGTGTTGTCTTGGAGGGTTATCATACTGATTGTTTGAATATGAAATTATATATTCAGTTTAGAAAGGGTGTAGATTGGGAAAGAATCAGCAGATGAGTCAAACTCGATAATGTTATTCTCTGAAATGATGGTGATCGAGGTTGGTAATGAAGACTGGGAAAAGAAATAAAAGTTCCAGTAATAAGGATCATTTTCAAGAAGAAATTGATTGAGTCTTGTAGGCTGTATTGGTTTATGTTTCACGGAACTTAAAGGACGGGTAAATTTCGAAAAGTTGAAAGAGTAAGTATAACAGAAGAATAAATTCTTGTGTGACGGTCATGTTGTGGTCTGCACATGCTGATTTTTTGGACGTCTACGTCTTGTTTTGAGGTTCTACGAATCGAAAATGAAACTGTAGTGTTTTCTTTTTTCTTTTGTTGGATTTCGTTCACGCATGACTGAAGGAGTGTTCTTTATCACAGTTCTCGGTCACATATACTATAGAAGGATTCATTAAATTGATACATCCACTGCAGCTATTCGGCAGGTCTGGGTCTTTCAGTTTTGCTCTGTTATATGCACTTCATCACTCCGTCCTGATATATTATTGGTCTCCTGTCTCCCAAACGGTTTCTGGTTGCAACATAATGGTTTCAAATAATGTCATATAAATTTCACAAGTTTCTATTAGTTTTATTGTTAAAGTGAATATCTAAGGTTGTTGCGATTAAAACATGTCAAAATCTTATATGTGAATATGACCGTTCTTTCGGAATAAGTCTTACTTTTACCAATGGTCATCTGTCGGGAAAGGGGAATTATAATACGTTGTAACAAATCATTAGACTAAAAGTCATATTTTTTTTTTCTTGGACAAATATCAAATTGTTTCAGTCTTGTGTTTCATGTAAACAACTACTTTCCAACACTCGTCTGGGTATAATTGAGTTTACCTGCAGAATGTTGCAGTTTATTAACAAAGAATATGTGCATTGCTTAATGTGTTGGAAATTGCCCAAAGTTTTGCTGCCAAGATTTTCCAGTCTAGCCAAACATATTTGATTTTTAAGAAGCTGTTAGCTCTTTGTTCAACTAACCTCCTTTGTTTTAAATCAAATCTGTTTGAATGTCGAAATGTTGTACAGGTTTTCCAGTTTGATAGTCACTCTTATAAGCAGCTGACAAGAACCAACTCTTACTATATAAAAGATTATGGTTATCAGGCAGTGATAGTTCTTTACTCAATGTCCGCTGTATAAGGAGTTTAGTATTAGGAAATTTCAGTTCGGCTGTTCTTGCGCACTTATTCATTTCCTTTCATTTAAGTCTTTGTTTTTCCGATTTGTTCATTTCTTCCGCTTCCCATGCTCTAGATAACACTCGTAAAAAATTTTGAAGATTTAAAAATATTATTTTTTGGAAGATGTTAATTTCGGGAAGATTCGCTGGATGAGGTGTAGAATAACAGAGGAATATAATAATTCCTTCATTAGCAGAAATAATAATACATTAATTTGACAGAGATGAATCGTAGTTGTATCACAAACTTGTCGAGAGGCGAAGAACACTTGATCTATCTTTGTTCTTATATCAAAAACAATGCTCCCCTTTTTGGCGCTTGGTGAAAACAATGCCGCCTTATTGGTGATACAAAGTAATCTCCTTATAGCAAGCAATATGAATAAAAAAAATATATGTAGTAAATGAAAAATATTACATGATAGCCCTGCTAAACAGTAATGGGTTTTAAAATAAAAGGTTCAAGGTATAAACATTACTTGTGAAACTTCATAAAACGTATTTCTTACTTTCATATAGTTTAGTGTTTCGCGATGTAAAATTCGGACAAACACTTCTATGAAATTATCAGTTTAATGTATCTATCAGTACTTGTGTATCGTAAGAGAATAAAAATCGTTGCAACATATTCCATTACACAACACATTCTTCAGTACAAACTCTAAACTACGACCATGAAAACTTCCCTAATAAGTCTTTTCAAGTTCTCTACATTATCTGGATTACTATCACTAATTTGGTTTCCCAGTGTGCAATTAACTAATTTTATTCTTTTTTTTTTTCTAACGATTTATTGGATCTCTTGCGATTTATTAACCAGATTTGTAAGTCTGTAGTTTTTCGTCTACAATTTAATTTGTTAATGGCTGTATATGCAGAACAATAAGTGATTAACTGTAGTATTAATAGTGCCGCTATTGAAGCGCCAGTGCTATTAACACTGACGAGGCGTGGAAGATGCTGATATATTCTGTACTGTTCTTTTAGAAGTGAATGTTTATTCTAAGAACCAAAAAAGTGTAAACTATTTTTAGCTAATTTAATGATATATCCACCTGCTGTGTAGAATTTTTAAGACTGTTTAAGAGTATGAAACAGTCATTTTATATTCTTATATTTCGTTAAAGTGACTTGGAAGGACTTTGCGCAAAACCTACTTTTTAAAGTGATATTTGTTGTTAAGTAGTGATTGTGCTTATTGACCCTAGTAGGGATTTCAGTCATTATATTCAGTCAGTTGATTTGCAGTTGTAAGTTATAGTATAAGTAAGACTTAAATTTACCAACGTGTCTCTTCGTATTAATATACCCCTCATAATTCACTTCACCAGGGAATATACCATATTGGGATGATATAGTAGATTAACGCCAATAAAAATTTGAACGATTCATTGATACTACGAGAGCTAATGTGACCATCAATGAACGGTCATGAAAAATAACTGATGGAAAGGGAATCGTGTAGCACCGTGTTATGTAATATAATTTCATGATTATAGCGGTTGTGGTGGTCTACGTATTTTAGTGGAACGTGCGACCAGCCGTTCTGGACCCTTTTTATACGTGGAGTTTTTTTACACGTGGAGCCTAGCTATTTTTATACGTGGAGCCTAGCTATTTCAGAAATGATATGGGAAATGCCCGGGAGTTTACATCACAACCAAGACGTACAGATAGTGAGATTCTAGTCGGCGATAGATGAAACAAAATAATGCGGTAATGAGTACTAAGTCCCTCAACGAAGTCCTGCACATAGTTGCACTATCAGGACATGTGTTCAGGAGTGCAGAATCGCATGATCCAGTGTCTCTTGTTGGATGATATCAAGTTCTTTTGAAGGAGTATTTTATTATTGCATGAGGTACCAGATCCCAAGAGCTCATTTCGAAATGATTATTGAGATTCGCAAGAACATTAAAGAACTCTATAAAAAAGGATGTGGGCACTTCATATTCCAATTGGTCGACCTTTTATTTAATACCCATGAATTTAATTATTTTTGAGATCTTTTTCTGTGATGAGTAAGCTAAACGATTCTATGACTAGGCATTCGTAAATCTCAAGATATATAAATAGTTCAGTCTCAAGATATATAAATTCAGAAATTCTTACTGATCACTTATGTTCTAGGTAGCTTGTTGGTGTTCGTTTCTGACAATGACTTGAAAATCCAGTCCATATGCTCAACCAAGATGAGCGAATGGGCACTGACTGCAAGGTTGGACGGAAAGTGAAGTAAATGAGAATTAATGTGGTAGATGATGTCGATAGTGATTACCGGTCGTTAAGTGCTATTTCGCTTCATTATTGCCTCGTCCAGCCCCGAATTAATGTACTGGGTAGGGGATGTTGCATGCAACACACCTAGCACGCTCCCATGATGATTGCCTGTTTTATTTCAGATGATGCGGGAGATAGCCTGCTTTGGTTTTGTTCTTAATTCGGTGGTCTCTTAGGCTTTCTGTTGTGGTTTGTGTTTCTGTAAATATTAAGGATTAAGGATTGAAATGGTACCGTGATTGTTGCATCTCTTTATAGAGATGCCAAATCCTATTTTATTCATTTACTTGTTATGCTTTCAGGGCTTAGTTTATTTGTTGAAAAATATATTTGCATTTATTTTTATCTTTTTTTTTTGCATTTACGACTTATTTTTTCCTTATTCTGTTGTATTTTGGCAACAGAGAGAATCCGAGGGACTGCAGGCTCTGTAATTATTCTTTAGGTGACGAACTCTGTGATTGCTGATTTATCATGTGTATTTTCCTTCACTTAACTTTATTCTGATTATATTTCTGCCCCGAGCTTCATTCTTCACAATTCTGTACTTATTCTTGACATAGTTTGCAGTTAGACTGTGTGGAATACAATATATGGAGATATTTGTATGTGTTTCATTTCAGGGCATGAGGTATTCCCATTGATTGGCCCAATGTTTTACGTTTTCTACGTGAATGAGGGTTCTCTGAAGGCTTTAGAAGTATCTGTTGCACTTGGCTCGGTTCACAAACTACAATGTGTTATCGAAGAAATAACTCAGGTGCCCGTTGCGGAGCAGGTTTGTTTTTATTAAATCTAGAATTTACGTTTCTTTTACAACTGTGGGAACATAGCTTTGGGAAATTCAATACCAGTAATAAAGAAAATTCGAATAACAGACTGATTCAACCATTACTTTTTTGGGATAGCTATAGTTTTATTCTGAAC